TTCTTTGACTAAGTTTTCAAAGGCATTTTGCTCTTAAATGCTTTTGTAAATGCGAGTCCTAATGAGATACTCTATTTAGGAATGAGACCTGACAATACAGAAAGGTGACAATGAGGCAAAGTTCATTGCTCATATGGAAGTGGATAAACACTCGTGAAATGAAATAGTCCTTACAGTGAGCTCAGATAAAATGATATATTTCTTCAGATATGTTAAGTAATTTTATTACACTTTACTGTTGAATCTTAACATTTGTAAATGTAAAAAACCCAATCCTTAAAGAGAGAAATGCTGTGCTGGCCACTGCCATGCATGCAGCTAGGTTGCAGGTGCCAGTGCCCCTTCTCTGTTTGTTACTATGCTGATTCCCGAAGTAAAAAATAAATGAACAAGTAGCATTTAATGAGAGATGGGGGCTGGAAGGGAAGAAAAAGAACCTCTCTGACCCTCTCCTTCTTTCAAAACTGAGAGAAAGAGGAAGAAAACAAACAGGAAGTAAATTATCTTCTAGAAATTAAAAACAAAACCAAACCCAGACTTAAGCAGACACAATCTCATTGCTGTTACTTCCCAGTCACAGATAAACCAGTTTTATCTTAATCTTCAGTTACTACCTTACACAAAAAAGAGCTCTATCTGCCTGCCTTGTCCCACTCCTAACTACACCTAGTACAAGGCCTTCATAAAAGCAAATGTTTTTTACACTTAAACCAAACACTCATTTCTGAACCCATTTTCCATGGCCACATCCAAACCCCTTCTTTTTCTCATAGTAGCTCCTATCACCCCTCCGCTGTACCAAATCCAACTCATTCACCTCAGCACGAGCACTCAGGACCACAGCAGTCACTTGAGGAAAAAAACCCCAAAACCCTTCTGATAAAGCAAGAAGAAACACCAAGCAAGGAGGCAGACTGAGTTAACAGCACTGTACCTGTTGTCCCTGCTGCACCACAGAGACAAAACCCACCTGTGAAGTCCAAAGCCTGTTTCTGCAAAGGGAGTTCCCCTTTAGGAGCTCCAGATGCCCCTCTGTCTGCCCAACACCTGTGCGGGGAGGCGGCTGGGGCCTGCGGGAGGTCAGTCACAGCCCCAGGCAATGCTAGTTACCAACACACAATACTCTCAAGAGTTTCTTGCAAAAGTACTTCCAGCATGGCTTAAGCAGGCCAGCCTCTTTGTGGAAATAAATGGTTTTTTTTCTTGTAAAACACTTGGAAGCCATTGGATTATAACTGCAAAATAAATGGCAATTGCTGTTAACAAAGTTATGGGTATAAGCATGGGTATAATATGTCTTCAAATTACACTTGCTCACTGTCCTGGTCCTCAAGCACTAGAAATACGTGTATTTTCTCTAACCCATTTCTGTCAGTTTTATGATTTTAAAGGAGTGCCAGCTATTTCTTCAGAATTTGAGGCCTGGAGCACTGCTAACGAGCACAAGGGGATGCAGCTGGGAAGCGGAGGACAGCTCCCGATGAGGCAGGTGTGCGCCCCAGGGGTCAGGAGGTCAGGCAGCACCTGTCACCATACCCAAGTTTTCTTGGTATTCTCTTATATATTACTCTCTTAATTATATACTTGGCTCCATTATTTTTTAATCAATAGCTTTCAAGACTGAATAATGTAACTATATTGATTCAGATGGTTTTTTTCTTTGGTTTGTTTTCTCAATAGCTTATGCATAGAGGATTTAGAATTTCATTATTATACTAACAATGTTTGGAAAAAGAAATAAATGCAACTCTGTTAGAGTTTGAAGTAAACAGAAAAGAGAGAGAGAAAATTCTGTCTTTCCACATAAAACAAAAGCTAATTAAGAACAATTATTAGTGGATAAACTAAATAATAACTTGCATAAAAGGAACTATTACTGTGACACAATACTAAAGGAAAAAAGAAACTTTAACAAATGAATGCCTACTCTGACTTCACTTGTACCTCATCTCTTCAGGAACGTGCAGATTCACAAATATGGTCCCAGGGAAGTGGTGGAGGGTGCCAGGAAGAAATCCAACAGCAGTTTGGCTTATTCAAGCTAAGTTTCAATTTTTTTTGCTTAATAAAAATAAGCCTGATGTGACTACTGTAATATGAGCATTTACCTGTGTGCTTAGAATGGCACTGTTCATGCTAAAGAGTACATGACTGTTTGTATGAACAGTTTAAAATAATGTTTTAAACTGTTTTTAATGAAGAAAATATCAATTTTCTTCCAAAAGAAAGAAGCCAAATAAACCAAAACAACATTCCTTAAATACCAAAGACTTACAAACAGTTATTTTCTATGTATTTTCTGACACAAATTTGGAGTAAGATTGCTCCTCCAATACCTGAATTTTCAATCTAAATAGCTTTCATTTTACAGAACTGTTCCTGCAAAACCTCTTTTGAAATAATTTTCAGAAGAATCACATTTTAAACACTTGTCATCCAAAAATAATGCAGGAACTCTAATCTGGCTGTTAAGCAATAAAATAGCTAGGTTTAGTTTCATTGTTCAGGAGAAAATTATTAAAGGAATAAACAACCAAAACTTAGAAGTAATTTATTTTCTCAATGTCTTTCTGTTTGCAGTATCTATAGTGCCAGTCCATAAATAAGACTGTATGCACAGGGGAGCAGAGCCGTAAATACAGATTTTTAGAAGTTACTTTCCTTTCCTGCTTTCCATGTCATGCTGCATGCTTTCAAAAGTAAACAGAAACCCAGGCTAGTTTAAGAGTTTGCATTTTTCAGTCCTTAGACAAGAAGTCCTCTCTCCAGAACCTCAACCTTTTGCTGTCTGAAATGCACCAGAAGTGTTTTCAGTTCAAAGTTCCTACAAACAAGCTTCAAGCCTTTTCCCATTAAGTAAATCAGTTGCTAGGGAATACATCTTTTGTACACATCATTACATAAAGCATCATTATTTAGTTAGTAACACATCTAGGAGAAGAATCAGCTGCCAGCAATAATGCTACTTCTTTTGATAAGATATATCAGAAGAGACAAGAGGAAGTAAATGCCATTTGTTTCTGTATAAGAGCATTCTTTCTATAAATGGTTTGAGAATTGTCACAACAAAATACAGGAGTCATTTTACTTTTTGAAAGGCTTTAAAGAGACTAAATGAGGAATTTGCCTTCATGCTCCCTGAACAGAGAACAAAGAGCATCCTATTCCACTTGGTTGCTAAGAAGGGAAGAGCAAGCTATTGCAGTATCATTTAAATGCTCATCTATGTTGGCCTTTCCCTCAGGATAAAATCAAGTTCCTCTCTCCAAGAACTTGAACATAAACTCAGTGATGGTTTCTTCTTTATCTCTCAAAATGCTTACTTCAAATATAATTTGTCTTCACTGGGAAAGGCTAGAAAAGCTTTAAGCATCACATTTGAAGATACAATTGCAGTGTCTTAAAATTCTGCTACTGTCTGTGTAGATTTCTCTCTGATGCTAATCTGTGGAAAACAGCACAAGTTCAGAGAACTGAAATTCATATAAATATGCTGGATACAAATGAAAAATTGTCCTAAAATATTCCTTTGAAAATAATTTTTTAGTTTTCACACTTAGAACAAAATTTTGTTTGCAAAAAGACAAAACACTTTTTCGGAAATTTTTTTCAAAACCTCTTTGATTGATAGACTAACACAGAGAATGTAATAAATAGCCACTTGGGGATAATTCACGAATATTAAAGATCCCTTTTTAAAAGCAAGTTGGGTTCCTCAAAATCTGCCATATCTCAGATGATCTAACTCACAACAGAGGGGGGACTGCTCCAATCTTTTGCATCTCTTCTTTTGAAAGGTTTGTCACACTCCAGTTCTCATAACTTTTCCTAATATTTTTTCTGACACGCAGTATTAAAAAAAACTCATAGGCTTAATTGCAGAGAATAGTTGCTCTTTTTGAAAATCCCCAGCACATTCAGAACATTCCACACCTGGCAATAAATTAACTTCTACCATATTTTGCTTGAATATATATGGTACATTAAAAACTACGTGAGGAAGGCAACAGTGGCAAGTGCTCCTCCTTCCAGAGACATGATGAGCAAGAAACACTGGTTGACCAGTATAAACCATCACTATCACCAAGAGGCAATCCTGCTACCCTGTGTTCCTTCTTTCTGTCATCCCAACTATGACAAGCATTTGCACCTGTAGCTGAGTGAAGGAGGATCCAAAGAGCAGGACATGCAGCCCCAGAGAGGCGACTTCTTCAGCAGAGGTGCGGACTGAACTGCTACACACTGCTTGCCACCCTTCCCAGTTGATGCAAATCAGGAAGACTTCCAGGTAGACTCATATCCATATTCAAGCTAGCAAATGTGTCTAAATTTCTCTATGTTCCCATGGGAAATCCTCTATTTCCTAAACGTGCAGGTAGACTCATATCCATACTCAAGCTGGCAAATGTGTCTAAATTTCTCTATGTCCCCATGGGAAATCCTCTATTTCCTAAACGTTTTCACAGACTGTTTTAGAGAACATCTGTCCCATTCCTTGCTATGAAGTGCCCCTCTAATATTATTCGTCCCACTCCCCTCTGGAACAAGTGTGTTCATAAAAAAAAAATCCCAATAAAAATCAAGCGGTTGCTTTGTAGACAGTCTTTCTTTACCTAAAGCTTTCACTTTCCTTACTGACTTATTCTTAATACACTGAAAAGATTTATTTTTATTCTTCCAGTTAGCTGCATTATAAGCAGTTATTAAAATGTTTTATAATACAGAATTGCATGTGGACTACATCAATGGCACACAAAACAAGATCTGTAGGCTGACAGATAATGAACTATGAGTTTTCAAAGTAGCTGTTGTCAGTCATAGAAAGGACCAAGCTTACCTTATTGTAACATACTAACAAGGAAATATTTAGCAAAATGCTGTAGAACAGAATGGCCATTTCCTTCATGCACTCACAGAAATTGACTCCAGAAGGCATTTTTGAGTTCTACACAAGTTAAGTAACTATCATAGTACCTCAAAAAAAACACAGTAAGACTACCTCTGGTTTAAAAATGTTTATTTAAAAGAAAAGGGGATCTATAACCAGATGGTGAGGAGAAAAAAAAAAAAAGTTTAAGTTTCCCCCCAAAACTATAATTCTGCAATTTACTTTTTCTTTAAGTTTCAGCTCCATTGTTTTATTTAAAAAAAAGACCCTGACCTTTCACTTCCTTTTCCTATGCTGTTAGACCTGAGGAAATTAAGTAGCTTTCACTGAAGGGTTGCATGGGATGTAAGAAGAAACCACAATAAAATTTATTCACAATATACAAGTATAAAAATATCTTGCTTAGGACTCATTATCATAATTTAATAACTTTTTGTTGTTTCATAGGTATCTGGGAAAGGTACAGACACATGTCCTGATCCTGTTATAAGAGGTAGAATGCCAGCATTTGGTACAACATTCCAGGAGAGAGTCAAAGTGACGTTCCTGTTTCCCCTGCAAAAGCAACAAAGACTATAAGGACACATACTCAACAAATTTACTTAATAATTACTAATATTAAATAAATCAGGATACAATTTTTTTCCTGATCCAGAAACAATAGGCTTTTTAATTTTATGTGGTTACTTCATGAAGACTTTTTTAATTGTTACCTAACTCCTTTGGAGTTGAGTGCATCACAGAACCAATTCTACACAGACAAGAATATTGGAAGCAGAAACGCAGAAGCCTATTGCTCATATTAGCAGTGCATCTTCTAGTCTACAGAAGAAACAGGATATCTTGTATCCCAAGGTCATATTACAACAATCAAACTACAAGGATGCAACAGAGTGACAGAATATCAGATAGAATACAGGTACTTTACCACAGCAATAAAAACAGACATGAAATACCAAGTATGCAAGTAAATCAAGACACCATTAATAATAATACTAAATGGATTTACTTACTTGAGACCATTCCCATCATCGAAGAAAAAGTACTTTGACTTCATGTCCTTTAAGAACAGCCTTGGGTTATCTCCTCTCAACATTATTTTGTCCCAAAGGACCACCTGGTTTAGAGCCTAAAAATACAATTTTAATGTAAGGTACCTTGCTGACTTAAAAGATCATATTCGGTCACTGGAATTTCATAGCATTATTCATGTAAAAACCCTGAAGCTGAAGTACATGCTTGCAATCCATAACTAATATAACAAAATAATGCTTCACAGGGAGGGAAACTAGTACTACTACATGCTAAAGTGTGGCATGGAATAAATGAAAACAACAAAGAACACCTCAATAAACACAAGCATTTAAAAAAGTCATAAGCTTTCAAAGACTTATAAAGTATGATGGTTTTTCCTTTGAATTGCAAAGCTAAGTCACTTTTAAAGCAGTATTTAGACTTCCTTTCAAATAAAGGACTTAAACTGAGCTATCATGGAACTGCCTAGGTATTCAGCTTTTTGAAATTTTAATGGAAAAAAAATCTCTACTTGAATTGCAAGTGTATCCCGAAAAATTGTATAAACAACTCAAAAGACAGATCTCAAATTCCTGAATATTTGAAACTTTATACTGTTAAGTAGTTAGGTCCTAAACAGTACTATAGTACCTTATAGAACAATTTAGAGAAAATATTTCTCAATATGTGAGAACTAGTGATTTATGTGAAAAAAAAGCTAAAAGATGGAACAAGACAATGAAGTCCCAGACCCTAATAAAGAACCCTAAAAACTATTTTAGTACAAACACAATATCAACCAGCATGTATAAAATAACTAAGATACTTGAAAAAAAAGTAGGGAGACAGTCTTGTGTAGCAAGTCAAGACAAAACCCCAAGGCTTCACCATATCCTTGCAATGTGACCACAGCAGTTTAAACTAGAATTCTACAATTCAGTGGTACCATGACAGCATCGTGTTTCATTAATATATTTCCATAGGCTGTTCCACATAGCTCCTATCAGAGCAGTGAAAAAAGCCTCCAGCCGTCCAAAGTGAAACATCAATTTAAAGGATGCAGCAAGGCCAACTATTTCAAAATAAAATAAATGTATTACGGGGCTACAGCAACTGGTATGGGCAAATGCTTCCCCACCACACCTGGCCAGACCAAAGGCCACTGTAACTTGCTTCTATGAGTAGTCAGCTGCAGAATGTTAGGGAAAAGTAAAATGGACAGAGCAAATTGGTGAAAAAACTAATTTACAGTCCAGTATTGTAAGTGAACAACAAGGCATGTGCTACTTTTCTCCCACTCTCCTGGGCACATATTAAGTTCGGTTTCATCAGGGTGAACTCCCCACCCTGGTGTTAAACTGTCAAGAAAATAACAATCATGAAGGCCACTAAAACCGGTCCAACCTAGTAGGGAAATGCTGGTGCCTTAACTCTTCCTAGCAGAACTTCAGAATGTTAAAAATAGCTGCAGCACAAAATCGGTAATTGCTTCAACTTTCTTTTTTGATACTTACATTGTTTTTTGTTGAATATTCTGCAGACAAATATAGAAACAATTGTTTAACATTCCAGTCAAATATACTCTGCAGATGTATGCAAGTTAAGAAAAATACCATATTGTACTTATATAACCTTGTTTTATTTTTACTAGATCTAAGTAGACTAATTACAGTGGTTCTTACATTTCAACATACCTCATTTCGTTTATAAAGCAGAGCACTTCCCGGAGTTCTAACATAGATTTCAACCTTATTAAAGTGACAGGATTTTGGTTTGATTTGTTTTTATTTATGAAATCTAACAGCTATTTCCTCCAATGATTTAGGAGTTCTATATTGGACAACGAAAGCTAGTAACCATAATCTGCTGCTAGACAACCTAGTATAAAAGTTTAAACATAAAAGGCAATACAGAATTCTTCAGCAAATATTTTCAAAGTGATTACTTATACTATCAAAGAACCCTGGTATCCGACTGTGGATCAGAATACAGTAGTATTAAACAATATATAAATATAAAACTGGATGAGTGTAGAGAGTTCAAAGAGCCTGTAATACCCATATTAGATAAGTTAGCAGATGGGAAGTATTTCATATTGGAAGGAATTAGTAGATTTAATTACATACCTACTACAAAGAAAGTCAGCTTATTAAACTGGAACAAAACTGCTCAGGTTTTTGATCAACAGTAAAGAACTGATGACTGCCATTTGAGACTGTCAGTATAATAAAGTTGAGATTCTAAATACCTGTATGTTGTTTATTTAGCAATAAAAGGCACCATGTGTGACAGCTAAGGAAAAGACCTTTTAACTCACAATAAAGATTAGGTGTAACCTTTTATTTCGCAATCCTTTTTTTTATTTGCCACTACCTCAAAAAATAAGTGAAAGATTCCCCCATCAGCCTCAAAAACTGTTCTATCTTGTTCCACTCATCGCAAGACTGAATCTTGTTTTTAAACCTCTAATTCAAAAGTCAAGTAAGGAAAGGATTAAATAATTAGTTGTTGTTGCTGCAAGAATAGTTGGAGTTACTACTTGAACATTTTTCATCATCTAACTCAAAACAACAAACAAGATTCTGAAGATCTCCTTTGTGGGATTTCTTAACACTAGCTAAAGTTAGCCATGAATTAGGTAAGCTAAAAAGAGTTGGCGAAAACTGTCTCCTCCTACCTAGTTTCTAAACGACATTTTATTTAATTCTTCCTAGGACCAACAATTTGTTTCCGTTAGTTAAGAGAGCCCATGTACCCATATCTCTTTACAAATTTAATCCAAAAAAACCTACCAGAAATTTGTATTTTACAACTCTACACAGGTCAAGATTTATTTATGCCAGGCATGAAAGATTAAGTCAGTTTTTATAAAAAATTTTAAAACTACTGCTACTATTAAAACTTATTAAAACATGGAATCTTTATGTCTACATACTGCAGACTAATTCTTGTATGAGTATTTCTTCTAGAGGTCCCGTCCTGCCATGTTCTGCCTCCCTCTATATACACAATTCATCTATTTTAGAATCCTAGTCTCTGGTTTTAATACATGTAAGCATTTCAGAAGTAAAACTCAGTACTTTACCTCTCCTGCTTCCAGCTGATAAAAAAAAAAAATTTCCCTCTTATTCCTGTGCAACACACACCTGCAAAAATCTGATTAACCTGTTCATCCAGTGTTCACATGCATTCAAGGTTTGTATTTTGTTTGATTTGCTTACACAAATTCTCTCACAAATTGCTTATACAAATTACACAAAGTATTCTCCAAGACAGCAAAATCAGAACACAGAGGTAATCGATGTCTTGCCTAACACAATGACAAAAAACAGTGGATGGGAAAAATCCCAGGAATTTCAGCCCATCTGCAAAGCAAGGCTTAGTGTAATCACCTGAGGTAAAGCATGCTGCCTCATATTTGGCACTGACTTTTGCAGAAAAACATTGATTTTTTTTTTTTCATATCAAGACCTTAAATTGCAATGATGATTCCCTTCTATTATCAAAAAACCTATCCCAAACAAAACCAAACAGAAACACCCCCCCACAACCCTCTTTCCTCAGTAAAAAACAGACCAACAGGGAAGCAGAGAAATACAAAAGAAAAGTTGCAAAGAGGTAACAGCAATGAGAAAGAGGCCCAAAAGTAATGTGATAAATTTTGTAGCACCTCACATGCTTCCCAATGAATTTCATACTATTCAATGTTAAAGATTTCATAGTTCAACATCTAAGCAAGTATTACAATGTCTTTTTATTTTTAAAGGAAAACAGGTACTTGTATGCAACTATCACATTGACAGAACTCTGAAAGCCTCAACAAAATGAGTTTGAAAGGTGAATTGTAATTTCTACATTCAATATGACAGTCAAAATAACATGTTACATAATTCACACCTCAAACCACCAATACAAACTTCACTCAACAGTAATGCTGTTCAGAGGTTGAACTGCACTTCCCAATATTAGAGACAGGGCACTTGCCTCTAGAGTCTGATTTTAAGAACAGGCTCTGGAGGAGAAGAAAAAAAAAAATAAGAGAAAACAACTCGCTCTGTCTCATTTACTAGAGACAGAACAGCTAGTCCAAGTTCTATTTTACTGGCCTAGCTATGTGAAATACTACTTTTCACTGTTTGAAATTTAGATTTTTAAGACAAATTGGTAGCCTCCCTCAAGTCATGAATATCTGAAGATTATAAAGTAACAAAAATAAATGTCCTTATTTCAAAATGTTTGCAAACCATTTTTTCCGTTAAGGATATCTGCAGTAATATCAAATGTGACGAATCCCAGATCACTTCTTTCTCTAGGTCCAGTGAAATCTTCTACATTTTTTCTAAGACAAAACAGAACACAAGATTATCCTTTCTCATGATTTCTTTCATACATTACATAAATTATTATAGTTTTGGCTAAAATATAATCAACATTACAAAATAAAACCTGTCTTCCAGAAATTACAGAGCCCCAGTTTTGAATGACAGGCCTTGCCACCACAGTAGTCTTAGTTATACAAATATCCTATAGACTTTTTTTCTGTCAACAAAAATCTATATCTATCTGTACCTAAACTGCACTATGTTTTATTGTAGTAAAACACATGCTAGCTATGTCCAAATATATAGAGCTGATTGGAACACCAGCAGCATAGCTCTCTGCTGGCAACCATTTTCAGTACCTTCTCAACTTACCATAAACAAAAGAAGCCTTTAGGCTCAGTTTCATACAAGACACTCCAACCATTCTGATAAAACAGAGTTTATTGTTTGTAGTTCACACATCTTAAAAAGATTTCTCCCTGGAATGTATTTAAGTAGCAGTATAAACAAAATGCTTATTTTATTCTACATTATGGAAAATCATATCAGTTTACAAGACTTTATGACAAATCCACATTTGGAGGAATATCTGGCATTGCCACACTAAACCACATTAGAAAAGGAAACTGGGAAATAACAGCGACACAGCAGATATTTTCATATGTATTCACAAAGCTTACCAATTTACCAAACTTACTCTCTACAAAGAGGAATACCGTAAGAAGGCTGGTAGTCAGCTAAAAACCTTAATTCCTCATGTAACAAAAATTTTATTATGAACAACTTAGTTACATGCATTCCAGTTTGAAAGTTAGTCCATTAAAATATTATTTAATTAATACTAAGCTTAGTAATCTCAAAGAAAAAAAGTTTACCAGCAGAAAAAAACACTTTTGGAGACAGTAGTTAAAAAAAACACCACCAAAACTTCCCAGTTTAAGCCTTGCTCTGAATTTACACCCCTCTGCAAAAGGCAACATCTTTTTAAGTAATAACCCTTATCAAGCACTTGACTTCATTTCTGAATCACTGTCAATCTGGTGGAGTAATGAGCCTTAAGCCCAGGGTCTGCAGAACTTCTCAGATGTTCAAGGGCAACTAAGGTATAATGACTGTCATTAATAACAGATCTGTGCATCACAGAAGGGACCAGCGGTGTAAATTTCATCCAAATTAGGCATTAGTATGCTACCTCACATCTGTCAAGCTAACCAGAACACTCAAAAAGATGATTTTATGACAGTTTTATGCTGTTTGCAGTCCCCAATCTAGCATAAATACGGGGTTTGTTTTCCTGAGGTATTAAACCAATCCAAAAGGAGATGGTAGTAGTTCCCACTCTTCATTTGCATTCATCTCCTCCTGGCCACCTGCTCGTGCCACCTTCCTCAGGGTGGCTCCAAAGCTCCACGAGCTGCTGTAGCTCACCAATCTGGCCAAAACCACACCAAACAAACTCATGAGTTAAAGCAGCTCAGTAAAGTATCCTCTGAGCCCGATTCCCCAGTGCAGCTCTAGTTAGTAAAGGACCATGTAGCTAGAAACAGGAGCAAAGACCTCCACTTTTTGGAGGCAGGAGTAGCTGCTGAACTGCCTGGGAAACTACAGCCCTCCACACCATACATACTTGGCAGAAGTTTTCTGTGACAAAGTTTCCTTTTTTTGGAGGGGGAAAAAAACCCCCAAAACTGAAAAAAAGGTTTCCATGGCACAAGTTTGCATCAGCACATTGTGTCTCGTAGGCAACACACTTTTGATGCAGCATTATTACCTATTCTACGCCTGGTGCCTTTCACAGGAAGATACACCACCTCAGCCAGCCTGCTGGCACAGAGCTCGCAAACAAAGGAAAAGATGTTACCAGTGGGAAAATCTAAGGGAACTAATTAAAAAAAAAAGGTACTAGGGAGATAAACTGTAAGTTCACTTAGGTCCTTGCATCCCTCAGATTGCCAAAAGCAGTTCGCTCAGCTCCCCTGTAAGTCACCATCACTTACAGAGAACGCGACTGGCGTTTGCACACAACCGGCAAGCAGGCCTGCCTCAGCCCGGCACCACGCCGGCACCTGCACCACGCCCGCAGCTTAACGCGCTGCCCGCGGCGAACCGCCCGAG